GCCCTGTACTCGACTGAAACTAGAAAGATGGGAAAGGGAATAGCCTCATGGTAGCCCCCCACACGGGAGCTGGGGAGGTTCCTCGCCCGGCTGCTTCCGTCCCCTTGCTCCAGGAGGAATCGGGCTCAAGTTTGACTCAAGTCAGACTCCTCAAGTTTCACCTACAAAACTTACATGGAGATGTGTAAAGTTGTAAAGGCTACCAGGGTGGGGCTGTTCCCCTACACTCCCGCCCCTTTTTGTCAGTACCCCTCAGACATGAGCTTGAGTCTGACTGCTCTCCAGCTTAGTTTTGCCTCTTCTTGGACTTGATAAAGTGGAATCCTAAGAATGCACCCTTTCACATCTGCCTTCTTTACTCAACAGGTCTTTGAGATTTATCAATGTTGGTACATGCATCAGTGGTCTGCTTTTATTGCTAGAGACACATTTGGGTCATTTCCAGTTTATTCTGGTCCTAACCGCTCTCTCCTTCTGTAACTTCCATCACTCATATACTGGAATCTCATGTTTCTTAGCCTGTTTTCTCCATTCTTTTTTCCTCTATATATCTCAGTTTAGACACCTTCTATTAATCTATCTTTGAGTTCATGAATTCTGTCTTCTGGTGTGTCCAATCCCTATGGTTGTGATTTTATCCTGCAGTCCTACGAGTCTCTATGAAACCCATCCGAGGAGCATGTAATCTCAGAGATGACAGTATTTGGTTCTACCTGCTCCTTGAGTTCTTTTTTTTTAATTAAAAAATTTTTTTTTAGAGTTTATTTATTTTGAAAGAAACAGAGAGAGAGAGAGAGAGAGAGAGAGAGAGAGGCAGAGAGCGAGCAGGGGAGGGGCAGAGAGGGAGAGAGAGAATCCCAAGCAGAGAGAATCTGAACTGTGACATGATGACCTGAGCCAAAACCAAGAGTCAGATGCTTAACTGACCGAGCCACCCAGGCACCCCGAGCCACCCAGGCACCCCAATTCTTTTCTTTTTTTTAAAGTAGGCTCCACACCTCCACACCAAGCATGGAGGCCAATGCTGGGGCTTGAAATCATGACCCTGAGATCAAACCTGAACTGAGATCAAGAGTCACATGCTTAACTGACTGAGCCACCAAGGCGCCGTTCTTCAATTCTTTTTTTTTTTTTTAAGTTTATGTTGAGAGAGAGAGAGAGAGAGAGAGAGAGAGACAGAGACACAGAGCACGAGTGGGGCAGGGGCAGAGAAAGGGAAACACAGAATCTGAAGCAGGCTCCAGGCTGTGAGCTGTCAGTACAGAGTCTGATCTGGGGCTCAAACTCACAAACTGTGAGATCGTGACCTAAGCCGAATTCAGACACTTAACTGACTGAGCCAGCCGGGCGCCCCTCTTAAATAGATTCAACCCTGCTAAAATTGTTTCTATTTGTGGCTATTTGCCTCTTTATCCAATTAACATATTAATCATAGTTGTTTTTAAATTCTCATCTGCCAAATCCAGTATCTGTATCATCTGTGGGTCTGCTTCTACTGTTTACTTTTTCTCCTGTTTATTGGTCCCATTTTCTACCCCCTTTTTTGCATGTTTCATACTTTTTGATTGTACGTTACATGTTGGGTATAAAAGAAGGGTAGACTGATGAACACTGAGTAATATATAGAATTGTTGAATCACTATATTGTACACCTGAAACTACTTTAATGCTGCATGTTAACTATACTGGAATTAATTTTTTTTA